ATACTTATCTGTTATTATTTTTTTAGCACAAGCACTGTTTAAACTAATTTGTCCAAGCAGTGCAAACGCTGTTTTTATAAAAAAAGTGTGGAAGTTTGAAATGCAGACTTTATCTAAAATTGCCGGATCAAATATGCTGTAAAGAAAATGATTTATATTTCATATTTTAAATTACACCTGTAACAGAAATTGTGGGCTTCTTTTAGGCCGTTTGTGCCTTATTTAAAATTCAAGACAAATCAAAAGCATTCATCAGAGTTGCTAAACAAGGTAAAATGTGTTTTTAATTAAAAGTAAAACTTTAAGAACAGTGACAGGAATCAGTATTTTACACACGTTTTTTTAATATGAATGATAATCAATTCTCCAAAGAAAATGACTCAGTCTTCAGAAAGCAAAAGATTAAATTGATATAAAAGCACACGCAGTAAGAACGTAATTTGTCATTTACACATTGACACTTGAGAAAAAGAAGGCTGAAAAAAATGCATTGGAAACCAGTATGTATATTATGCACCATTATAAGCTGACAAGAACGTTGATATAAATAAGCTGACTGTTAGCATAGCTGCAACAGGAAAAACATAGAATAACGTCATAAAATTGACAGTGATTCAAGGAGTTGCGGACAGGTGTTTTTTTACTCCTCATATCTTATTTTTTCCTCTTTAACCACAGACAAATGTTCCTCCTTCACTTTTTCACAGAAAAAGAGCAGGGGTTGAAGTACAGCAGCTCAGTGGGAAGGATGAGGGGGTACCATTTGACAAAACACATGCTACCGCCCACATGGCGGAATTATGTCATCACTTAATGACATATATACCATACATGATGACGTTCCAACTCAAACGGCTCTATGAAACAAACGGCTCGTTTATGTAGAGATCCTTTCAAAAAGCAATTTGTCCCATCTCTAGAAATTGATTATATTTAGATTTTTTAATTACCAAAAGTCAAAAACCCAAATAAAATTTTACTTTTTCTCAATTTGTGAACATAAAACTGTATGCAGAAGCACTGACTTTTAGAAAAAATGTATTAACAATTTATATAAAAAAAACTAGCAGGAATAGACCATGGTTGTCTGTCTTCTGTTATCATTTCAAAGGCCACAGTGATCCAACACTTCAGAAGTATGCACTTTTTCTCCTTTGTGCCAGTAGCCATCCAGTAGGGTTCATGTCCAACTTCAACATACTGAGCAACCATGGATCCTGTTGTGCACCTTTGATAAATTCTTCCATGCTAACAGTACCTGTAAAAGAAAGAAGAACATGCAAGAGTCATTATTTTTATCTTAACTATCTTTTTTTTCTCCCCCCTCCAAAACAAAACATCAAACACTCACCGTCATGATCAACATCGACAGCTTCTAATATCCGATCCACAACCTGATCAACTGTAAGATGTGGTTCAGTCACATCTGTTTTTGAGCCTTTCTTGATCCGAGAGATGCTCTGGAAAAAAGAAAGAAGTTGTTATATTTGTCCTGATGCATCTCAGTAACGCAGATAGAAAAAAATAAAGAAATACAATTTAGGTCCTCTTCAGTCAGACCGAAGAGGTCTCTTGGAGYAGAGATGAAATCTTTCATTAAAGAAGAACCTGATGAGGACCAACTTAAATTCTTTTAATTTTGTTATATTTCTTCGATACACACTTTAATATCAGTTTTAACAGGTAATTTGCACGTGATTTCTTTTGCTCTCAAGCTACTTTACTGATAATAGGACTCTCTGTAACTGCACAGAATTGACAAGTATTTATAGCAACAGACAGTATTGCAGTTTAAGAGGAAAGTTATTAAAACAACAGCAACACCAGAATTCATGTTCCCAATCTGATTTGTTCAATATTATTTATTTGGAGTTCTTTATGGAAGGAAATTATTTTTTTTATTATATTATGCACATTAATTAAAGCATTATTCAATTTTGGTTTTATTAATGAGGGTTAAAACTGTATTTTGATTAGGTTAACTATAAAAATTCAACTTTATTTAGGTATAAACTATACTACACTATACACACTGTACTGTACTGTACTGTACTGTACTGTACCACACTACACTGTACCATATTGCACTGCACCACATCGTACTGCACTGCACTGCACCCCACTATACTGTACCATACTGTACTGTACAAGTGGTACCCAACTTTTTAGCTATTGACAAACAAAATAGTAGTAGTCGTAGTTGCGACCTGCGCCCCCAACTATTTTTTCAGAATTGGTATAAACAGGGTGCATGGTAACAATATTCATTATGCTACTTTTAGCCATTTAAAGTACACTAACTGCACTCTTTTGTAACAACCAAGGCATAAAACAATGTTAGTAMTCATTTTAAATGTAATTAATTCTCTTTTCAACACCCCACCTTTATGTTTCAGTACACCACTGTAGGTCTCGACCCCAAAGTTTGGAACTGCTATACTATACTTTACTATACTATGCACCTAAAATAACTTTCAATATAACTGTACAAATGTGATATACTTATGAATTATTTAATCTTGGGATAAGTAATGTATCCATTCATTGATTTATTATTTCAATAGACTGTCACTAGACAAAACAAAATGACTGCAGTGGAAAAAATATGTAAACAATAATTTGCACTTTCACAACTTAGAATTGAGTAAAATTGCACGCCAACTCTAAGTTCTTTTTTTATCTAGTTTGGATATGAGGTCAATAGGAGTGAGTGATAGTGAGAGGACACCATTCCCAAAACTGAAAATAGCATATCCTAATAAAAATAAAATAAAAAGTTATCTTTTATACTTGAAAGTAACATACTGTGAGAGGGTGAAAATCTGAGAATTGTTTAAAGTTTTAACCAGCAACATCGACAAAGGTTTTGTTGTCACTTGCTCATTAAACTTACATCAATTATTGAGCGAAGTTCATTCCTATCCACATAGCCGTTGCCATCTTTGTCGTACACCTTGAATGACCAGCGCAGTTTGTGCTCCAAGTCTCCTCGAAAAACAAGATTAAGCGCCGCCACAAACTCAAGGAAGTCAATTGTGTTATCCTGAAGTAAAGGTTGAATAAAACAACAATTAGCTCACATTTAAACAGTTTGGATGACTTACTGTAAGACATTTTTTTTCCTCACCCCATTTTTGTCAAAAGCTCGGAACATGTTCTCTGCATATTCAGCAGCTTCTCCTGTTGCATCAACTCCGAAGAAACGTTTGAACTCATGCAGAAAAAGGACTCCACTCGGGCACTCCGTGACAAATTTTTTATACATATCCTGCAGGGCTTTAATATCAATCTCCTCGCTGCTCCCTGTTTGCTGCGTCTGCCCCATAACTAAACACAACAGTCCATAGTCTGCAAGGCAGTAATCTCCACGACAGTGGCCTGACTTGAAATGGGAATCTCTTGCTCTTGGGTGTTTTTTTGTATAAGCCTTTCGAATCCACTTCTGGAATCCTTCTGTTTGTGCATGAGCCAAGTGATTACTGCAGCCTCAGGATTAGTGTGGTATTATGTTGGTAGGGCTACCTCTTACCGGGTTACCAGACTCTAGTCAAACACTAGTCTAGGACAAACTATAGTTTGTGCTTTGCAGTTAATGGCCTGCTATCATTTAATCAATACATAACAATATGAGCCACCTTTTAACAAGTTAAACAGGGCTATACCATTACAGAACTATTATTTTATATTAATAAAATTAAGGCAAAGTCCAAATTATTTTGTGAAACTTAATATAAAATTTGCTAAGTCTCTGAATATATTTGTCATGAAACATGACATAAGTCTAGGAGGCATGGTGCAGGTAAAAAAAAAAGTAAAAAATATATATTTTAAGTAAAGAAATAAACCCTAAAGGGATAGACCACAAAAACCTTAATAATTCACAGAAAATCTTGTAGTGAGTAAAAATAAATTGGCTCATTATACACTGCAGGAATTAACCAGATGACAGCTTAATACCAAAATAGTACCAGGTGTGTATGGAAGGTAAAAACCAGGACCCATTCAAAGAAACAAACAAAAAAGGAACCACAACAAGATGGAAGAACTGAACCAAACGAGAAACTGAAACTGAAAGCCAGTTTAAAGTAAAAAAAATAATAATAATAATAAATAAATAAATAAACTTGACCATGACACTTTGATTCATGGGCATTGTTAGTGAGCACCTGGTGGTAGAGCTTTGTCTCCTGGGACTCAGCAGGCCCAGAGYCTGAAAACGGTGGAAGCTACAGGGAAAGCTGCTAAAACTGGGTGCTGTGTAAAACAGGTAAGTCCTCTGACAAGTTGATCCCTAGTGTACTGGCTAACTGGTATGTGCGATTTCACCTCACTGAGTATGAGGGACCCCAAGCTTTATTTGTTTACTATTACTTAACCAGTCAAATCCCACTGAGATCGCAGATCTCTTTTGCAAGGGAGTTCTGGGCCTGAACGCAACCTATTTGTGCTGTGGGGGAAACCAGAGCACCAGTGGGCAGCTGTGGTGGAGTGGTTAGGGGAGTTGTCCTGGAAGCAGAAGGTCGCCGGTTCGATCCCCGTCCAGCCGTTTCAGTTATTGTGCAAGACACTTCACCAGCCTTGCCTACTAATGGTGGTCAGAGGGTCCGGTGGTGCTGGTGCACGTCAACCTCAGTGTGCCCCAGTTGCAGCTACTGCAGCTGTGGCTACAATGTGGTTTGCCATCATCAGTGTGTGAATGTATGGGTGAATGGGTGAATGTCTGTAAGTGTAAAGTGCTTTGGGGTCCAGCGACTTGATAAAGTTCTATAAGTTCAGTTAATTTATCATTTACCCAGAGAACAAGCAGGAGAACATGCAAACTCCACTCAGACAGACATCACGTCCAAACTGGGGATCAAACCCAGGGCCTTCTTGCTGTGAGGCGTCAGTGCTAACCACTGATACATCATGCTGTCCAAACTTATTATGTGCAGTTAAATAACTGGATATGGGCTCACGTCCACACACTGTTTGGGCTATAGAATGCCTGAAKTGCCTCTTGGTTTGGCAGAATTTCCTGGAGCTGATTGAGAATCTCTATCCAAGGCCTCATCAAACTCTCCCCACACCGAGCCTTTCCCTCAGCAACAGCCAGGGCTGCAGCTCTCTTGACCCCTAAGATGRCTCTGGAGACTTACCAGTTAACAAGGCTTGGCAGGGATCCTCTTTCAGCTTGARYGTTCTTTTCTTCAAGTGTCCAAAACATACAGCCTCAAATCAGATGGCACAAAGTCTAACATCCATCTGCAGCCTAGTGGGTCTTGATACCATGTGCACTGAAAGGACGCCCTGGTGTTCYAGCATGGTCAAACTGTGACTAGCACAGAAGTCCAACAACCAAAACAACACTCGAGCTCAGATCAGAGAGGCCATTCCTCTCAGTCACAGACCTCAATGTTCCCAGGAGAATGCTGGAGTCCCCAGCTGGAGAACCTTCCAGCACCTCCACTAAGAACTCAAGTCAAATTCATGTATTCATTTCATTAAAACAAACAAACAAACAAACAAACAAACAAAACATTTCACACAACAATGATACGTAAAATAATAAAAACAAAAAAATTAACTCCTCAGACAGTAACTAATACAACTTAAACAAATTCATATTTCTTTAACATTTTTTTCTTGATCATTTRCTCAAAGGYATTAACTGATCCAATGCTCTTAAYTCATCCTCCAGATTATTCCATAGTCTWATGCCTTTTACTGAAGTGCATCTGTCCTTCAAGTTTGTTCTGATTTTCAGTTTAACAAACGTTTGTAATCCCTTCAAATTATAGCAGCTTTCTCTCTTAACTCAAAGAAGCTAGGCACAAATAACAGTCACTTTATGTTAACCTCATGTACAAGCTCAGGCTCCTTCCCAACCAGGGAGAGTGGATAAGGAGCCTGACCCAAAAYTTAGGGTCAGACTGCCAAGGCCACACTTTTGCCTGCCACTCATAGCACTTTGCACTCAACCCATATGACCCCTCCTGTAGGTGGTGGGCCTCAGACCTCACGGGCCATTTAGGGTATTAGAGCATTAAGGATCTTTGTTCAGTTTAACMACACACATCTTATAAAGACCTGTTGGTTCCAAATTTATATAGCATATGCTTTTTTCATATTCTAAGTTTCATAAGTTACAGTGGTGGGCACAGTTCCCCTAAAGTGCTAAAGCACTAATTGAGGGACTAATTTCCTTATTAGTGCTTTAGGGCTTTTGCTAATTTTAGAATTTATTAGTGGATTAGCACTTGCTAAATTTATAGGCTAAATTTAGAAGCACTAATTCAGGTCTATAAATGTTATTGATCAACGTTAATGTTAACAGCTGACAGTGAAAGATGTCACTCATTTTGTTCATATGTGTGTCACTTATCCACCAGGTGACAATTTATGAACCTAAATACAGCTGTGGAACATCAATGATAAGTCTTGAGAGAGCAACATGACAACATGTGACTCATGTTGTCTGTTGAAGAGTGTTCATGGGTTGAGTGGGTTATTTTAGTGCTTTAGAATTAGCTTTTGCTAAATTTTTTTAATGCATTAGTGCTTTAGAATTAGGGGACCTAAATATTTGAGTTAACGCTTTAGAATTAGGGGACCTAAATATTTGAGTTAGCGCTTTAGAATTAGGGGACCTAAATATTTGAGTTAGTGTTTCAGGGCTAGTGGAACAAATGTTTAGATTAGTGCTGCCCACTGTACGTTACAAACAGTACATCCATTGCTATATGTGTTATAATCAGTATCATCTTGTAAATGACTTGTGCTCATGTCTCCTTGCTGCCCTTAATCTGTCTCAGTGTYTCCTCTTGCAAAAGAAACTAAGAGGTTGAAGTGCTTAAAGTCAGGCTGATTAGGAGTTGTTTTATCAACCTCTTTCAATTAGATTGCTCTGATCTGGTTAGAAAAAACAATCTCTATGAAGTGAGAAGATATTTTTACTGAAGTAGTAAATATATCTGTTATATCTGCCATTTAACAGTGGGTAAATGATAGATTTTGCAGGGTTGTGCTGATCTGTCTTGCACTGAGACCTATGAAAGTGGCAATAGTAACTCCTTAAATCTGCAAATAAATTGGAACTTCATTTTCACTTTTCAGCTTGGTGAGAGAATCAATGACATAAAGCATTCAAGCTTGTTTTGCTGTTAACAGCATTTTGCAGCTGCTAGCAGTTTTYTCTATGTGCGTGTGTGTATGGAAGTGTGAGGTGTGTGTGAGGTTTGTTGGGATAAAGAAGACCCAGTTGTGACATTTCTCCACCGATCAGGTCTTAGTTTTGCCAAGAGTGTTACCCTTCAAAATATCCTGACTCCCATCTTTCTGGCCCACGCCTGAGCCAGATTCTCTAAACAGACATCTGAGCAGAATTAAGCAAGAATCCCAGTTTTCAAGAGGAAACAATGTTCATGCAGGCGACTCGACAAACCTATTTGTCTTGTTTTAATTATATAATGAAACAATGCACATATGTTTCACATTAGAATTTAAGAGTCTTTTTTTTAAATATAAAATTTTAAATGCTATAATAAAAACATTGTGCCTGTTTAGTTGTTAAAAGTACTAACTACACAAAAATAAATTATGGTGACAAAAAACTTTTTTGTTTCTTTAATTCGATAAATTACAAGTTTTGCGATATAAAATTAAACTCAAACGACCAGGTCGCATTTATCAAGAGTAATCAGCTCTATGTGCATGCAATGGGGTGCGTCAGTTCTCAGTTKTGTTTGGTCCAACTGTGTCAAAGACATCTATAAAAAGAGGTACTTAAAAGGATTCCCTCCTACGTAACACACCAAAGGGTTGCTTCAGACCTCTCAGCTAAAACTAGGAGCTGCTTTTATACAAGAGTACGGAAGCCGAGCGCAACCAACTTCCAAATAATTATTTTCCATGGTTTTCTCATTGTCACAAAATAACGAGGAGCATTTTCTCGAGATAACGAGTTATTTTCCAGATGTTTTTCCTTTTGTGTATCATTCAGTAACCAGTGGTGGGCTGCAATAATCTAAAAATTACTTTTGCTAGCCCTATAACACTAACTCAAATATTTAAATCCCCTAATTCTAAAGCACTAATGCACTGAAAGTTTTAGCAAAAGCTAATTCTAAAGTATTAAAATAACCCAGTCAACCCATGAACATTCTTCAACAGATAACATGAGTCACATGTTGTCATGTTTCTCTCTTAAGACTTATCATTGACATTCCACAGCTGTATTTGGGTTCATAAATTGTCACCTGGTGGATAAGTGACACACATATGAACAAAATGAGTGACAGCTTTAACCCTCAGCTGTTAACATTAATGTTGATCAATAACATTTACAGACCTCAGTTAGTGCTTCTAAATTTAGCAAGTGCTAATCCACTGATAAATGTTAAAATTAGCAAAAGACCTAAAGCACTAACCAGGAAATTAGTTCCCCTGTTAGTGCTTTAGTGGAACTGTGCCCACCACTGTCAGTAACCATGGAGATGTCCCGATCCCCTTCAACTAGTGACAGATAAAGTTTTATTATATCATCAAAAAAAAGATGACTGGGTAAACTCCTGCTGAGCTGCCAGCGAGCCAGCCGTCTTCTTAAATGATGAGGGCTGATATGGAAGTTWTCTGTACAAGAAAAACATCACAGTTTCAGTCTGATGATACAAAAATGACACAAATTCATGAACAATTGATAGGTTGACTTCTGGACCAGGCCACCCTGCGATCTCAATGGGATTTGCCTGGTTAAATAATGGTGGACGGATGGACGGACGGACAGCCGAGGGGACCAGGTCATCTCAATGGTTACTGAATGACACACAAATCTGGAAATTAACTCGTTATCTTGAGAATGCTCCTTGTTATTTTGTGATAACGTTAAAACCATGGAAAATAATTGTGAATGAATGAATGAATGAATGATACTTTATTGATCCCATGGGGAAATTACAGTTCAATTATAAGCGGAAAACAGACGKTCTCGGCTTCCATACAAGGGACCCACTGAAGTATTTGAAAGTTCAATTGAAGGTATTATTGGTGAACYTAACAAAACTTCATTTTGTGATGTTTTCTTTTTTTATCATTTTCTCATAGAAAATCTACAGTAGTTTATTGTAGCGACAACATAAGGTGTCTTGCCAGTCTCCAGTTAAGAATATATATTTTATTTTTTTTATTTTTTAATGTATGTAGGAATATAAAAAACACAAATATAGTGAAATAAAATATTGTAGAACCTGGAACAGCCACTTTTCAGACTCTTCTATACTACCATTGTGATTACAGTAGGTTATTTATAAAGACTTTTAACAACAACTGCAACAAAGTGCTGTACAAATAAAGTCTAAGAGCATTCAAACACCAAKTATACAGTACGTTATGATTATACATTCTAACTATTTGACCGCTGCTTTGTGGTATTTGATTAAACAGCAATGCTCTGCAGGCAGGAGGCGCTTGCAGACCTTATTGATCACTGTTGACATTAGAATGTTGGCCTGCATGGTTTGTAGGTGCTGTACACAAGTCAAGCCACACATACTTCATGTAGAGTGTGGTAATCGTGCARCTGCACAGATTTGGGAATATTAAAAAAAAGTGCATCAGGCTGTCAACATACTGTAGCTTTTCAGAGAGRGAAACAAAACTGGTTTTTGGTTAGAGGAACCACTGAAAACCTGGASCATAAGACTTTTCAGAGGTCTGCAGATGACCCAGGCATTTGTGATGATGATGTTAGGATTGTGTTTGTGAACAACTATGTGCCATTTGATTTCATTATGGCWCAGTAGAAGTGAAAATGCATTGCTTTTATTAAAACCACCTGTAGCATTATAATTACTGATGACAGCTGGATAAGCCTGTGCTCCTTCTTGTTACAACAGATACAAACAGAGACTGCTAAGTCTAATGTTTTGATATTGTGTAAATTTTCCCAAAGAGGACACTACTTTTCCTGCTTATTGATGCTGTACTTGTTAATATCCACTAGATGGTGACAAAACATCATACCAAAAGCTGCAGCCAGTTTCTATCAATCAGTTTGATCTGTAGCTCATTGATAAACACACTGTTCTTATGTTCTATTTTTGTATGTTTTAGTATAAAATAATGATACATAAAATATGAATAAAATAGAAAAT